GAGTTCAAATCCTTCCTGAGAGAGTTTACTAGCTGTATGACTGGACAAGTCACTTAACCTCTCTCAGGTTCAATTTCCTTATCGGTAAAATGGGGATAATAACAGCACCTACCTTCCAGGGTTGTTGTGAGGCTCAAATGAGATGATATTTGTAAAATCTTCACAGACTTTAAAGAGCTGTATAAATGCTAGCAAGTGTTATTATTACCAACCTGCTGTTTCTGGAATCAGGCTTTTAGTATCTCCTCTATGACCCTGGTGATTTAGAAGAGTTAACTCAGTTTCCAGAAAGGCCTGATTCCTTTAGGAGTGCCAATGTCATTAATAATTTCCTTGGAGGAAATCATTGAAACAAAGAACAAAACAAAAATCTTATTATGTCATGAAATACAGCAAGAGCATCTCAGTGGGCCTAGTTCCTATTTGTCCAGACCCGGATGAAAGCAGACTGACTAGTCTAGTCCTCCCCTTCCCTCTTCTAACCGTTTTGTTTTTCACTCCTCTATTTTTTTCTTTTTCTTTTTCTTTTCTTTTTTTTTGGTGAGGCAGTTGGGGTTAAGTGACTTGCCTAGGGGTCACACAGCTAGTGAGTGTTTTGTGTCTGAGGCCGGATTTGAACTCAGGTCCTCTTGAATCCAGGGCAGGCGCTCTATCCACTGTGCCACCTAGCTGCCCCTTTCAGTCCTCTAAAGCACTGATCAGGTATTGCTGTGTATTACAGCTGTCCCAGGCCTTGCCCTTCTATGCTCCCTATGCACAGGCACCTGCTTTTATCAACACTTGACCTCTTCCCCTGTGCTCTCCACACAGTAGGCCTTAATTACTGCCCCTTAAAGTGAATGGAATGTCGAAGCTCATCAATTATCTCCCTTTGATGATGATGGAACTTAAATAAGCCAACATTAAACAGGCTGAGTCTAGACCTGTTACCTCATCAGAGAATTTCCGATGTGTAAATTCCCTCTAATGATGCATCCAAAACGTAGTCTTAGAGGTTTGCCGGGACACTGAGACAGTAAGAGAACAGCCTGTACATGTGAAATGCAGGCCTTAAACCCAGGTCTTTCTGACCACTTTCCCACACAGCATCTCTGATAATCAGCCATAGATGGAACTTGCTTTGAAAGATTTCCTTTTCCAATTAGTTTGCTGTTATTTAGACCTAACCTTTCAACTCTTTGGGCTTCTTCTTTTAGACAATGGTCACTAGACAGTATCCTTGAGTACGTTATTGTTGTTCAGTCTTTTCAGTTGTGACTGACCCTTCATGACCCCATTTGAGGTTTTCTTGGCAAAGACGCTGAAGTGGTTTGCCATTTTCTTCTCCAGCTCATTTTACAAATGAGGAACTGAGGCAAACAGAGTTAAGTGACTTGCCCAGAGTCACACAGTTACGAAGTGTCTGGGGCTGGATTGGAGCTCAGGTCTTCCTGACTTGAAGTCCAATGCTCTATCCACAGAGTTACCAGCTGCTTCCATCCTTGGATATGCTCAAGTAAAATCCATTTTTTTTAGAACCAAAGCATTTCTTAAACTCAGAATTAATTGGACTGCTCCCAGGCATTGGAAGCATCTATTTTGCTTTAATATCATAAAAATCTCTCTCTCTGCAGGGGCTCATCTTTTTTGTTTATGAGAACATTTCCATAACTCTGATTCTGTTTATACCAAGGCTTGTTAAATTTTAAGTGTGCTCAAGTTTCATTGTATTAGCAAGGAAGTTGTAAATTAAATACCAGGAAAAAAATGAGATTTTTAACGAGATCCAGGCATATTTAATGTAAGAATTAATGTGCCTGACTGCTTACATACTTTAATCCAGAATTTTCTTTTAATAATGGAGACATATCACAGATTTGAAAGTGTTAAAGCACAACATGTTTCCTATTGTTTCTCTTCATTAAAACAGTAAAATATCCTCATGATATACTCAGGATAATTTGTGCATCAGACAGTATATAATAGAGGATAGTGACCCTGGGCAATTCACTTAATGTCTTAGGGCCCTCATGGGACTTGAAGGTTTTAAGTTGCTGATCTGTGTTGGTAGAGGGAATTCCTCTACTTGAGAGTTCCTTTTACTGATGGGGCTCACAGGGGTGGGAGAGGGAATACATGTGCCTCAGTCACACCCTCCAGTGGGTCAAGTCAATGAGCAGTTATTAAGCACTTACTGAGTGCAGAGCAAAATAATGCTCACTTACTCTCTGTGACCTGGGACAAGCCACCTGATGTCCATGGGCCTGTTTCACTATCTGTAAAATGAGGATGTTGGACCAGAATGCCTCTGAGAACCTTTCCGGCTATCAGTGGATGACCCCAAGACACAGAGTGGCCTGGATTCGATTCGGTCACATCTGTACGGTATTAACAGTGAGGAAATGAGCAAAGAGCAGGGTAGAAATGCTGATTCATGCTTCAGAAGGCTGGATCACAACACAATTGAAAGAACAAAGAAAGAGCTGTCAGACTGTCCCTGACAAAGCGTAGCAGTGCTTCTAGAATGCAAGACCAAAGGATGGGCAGACTAGGATGAATGAACAGAAGACACAGACCCGGGACACTGGGCTTGGAGTCAGAAAAGACCCGGGTCAAATCCTGCCTCTGACACTTACTGTGACCAGAAGCAAGTGGCGTCTCTTCTCTGTGCCCCAGTTCCCTTATCTACAAAAAGCAGATAATACTGTCTGTGTTGTTAAGTTGTGTCCACTTCTTTGTGACCCTATTTGGGGTTTTCTTGGCAAAGAAACTGGAGGGGCTTGCCATTTCCTGCTCCAGCTCATTTGACAGATGAGGAAACTGAAGCAAGCAGGGTTAAGTGACCTGCCCAGGATCACACAGCTCGTGTTTGAGGCCAGATTTGAACTCAGAAAGATGAGTTTTCCTGACTCCACTGCACCACCTAGCTGCCCCTAGGTCAGTCCTTAGCCCTTTTAAATTTTTCTTGATAAACTTGGTAATTTTCACAGATGCATACCCAAAATCATCAGCTACACTTGCATACATATTCATACCAACTCCCCTCATGCAACAGACTCAGATTTTTCCTTGTTCTTATAATTATGTATTGACCCATGAATTTGAAATCAATGTTAGCTCACCAGTATAGTGATCATCAGCATATAGTCATAAATATCAGTAAATTAGTTATTAGTTGCTGTTACCCAACACAGAATGATATGCCAGGCTGCATGACAATGAGAAATGCCATAGAAGGTCTGGAGAGATGGCTCTATTGGAGGCGACTCATAATCAGAAAAGAAAGTAGATAGATCACAGAGTTAGGAGAAGAGATGATAGATGGACCACATGATTAACAGAATGGATCCACTGGGACCAGAAACAGGTCAGCAAGTTGAAAGTAAATGGGATGGGCCAAGAGTTTGGCTCTTTGCTCAGAAATGGAAAGGGTGGGTATAGGACCATTGATTCTGTGTTGCACATCATGAAGAATGATAATAGTTGGGAATACATACCAGATGTTTTTTTAATTATAAAAAATTTTTGCAGTTCACACCCTGTTGTACATTTCACCCTCAGATAGCAGCAACAACAACAATAATAACTAGCATTTATATAGTGCTTTAAGGTTGTCAAAGCTCTTTAAAAACATCTCATTTGACCTTCATAACAACCCTGGAGGCAGGTGCTATTATTATCCCCATTTTACAGATGAAGTAGGTAGAGGTTAAATGACTTGCCCAGGGTTGCACAGCTAGTAAGTGTCTGAGGTTGGATTTGAAATCAGGTCTTCTTGACTCCGCTTCCAGAGCTCTATCTATTGTACCACCTAGTAGCCTTAATATTATGCATCAGAAGATATGCCATAAAAACATTCATTAAGCAGCTGCTTGTGAAGTGATATAAAGATGAAGTAATGAGATAGTCTCTCCCCTCAAAGGAGAATCTGGGTGGGAGGAAGAGAGAGGAGAGACGAAGACTCCGAACAGGCTATTATGTAAATAAGCCTGACACGAGGTAGAGTGAGGTAGCAGGGAAGGAGTAGTCTAGACAAAGTGTTCTAGAAACACTGGAGGAGGGAAGGGATGCTTTTAGATAGGGGAATTACTGAAGACCTCCTGCAGAAGGTAGTGTCTGAGATGAGCCTTAAGAGAAGAAAAGAAAGGCATGAAAGGAAGAATGCATTGCAAATCAAGACTCAGGAACAACTAATCATCTAGTCTGGCAAAACCTAGAATGAATGAAGGGGAGTATTATGAGACACTGCAGCAAAGGGCGGTTGTAGCCATTGTATAGAAAACACTTAATGCCTGAAAAGCAATTTTGTAGTGTAGTGGGAAGAACATTTGACTCTCTTCTCACTGTTTCTTAGAGAAGGAGGAGGAGGTAAAGGAGGAGGGGCAGGGGAAGCAGGAAAAAGAGAAGGAATACCCTTGGCTTCCTTCAAGATTGAATTCAAATCCTACTTTTTGAAGAAGGGTTTTTCCAGTTCGCCCAAATGATGGTGCCTTCTCGCTACTCTGTATATATCTTGTACAGATGTAAGTCTCCCCCATTAGAGTGTAAGCTCCTTGAAGGCAAGGACTGGTTTTTATCTTTCTTTGTATCCTCCATGTTTAACACAGTGCCTGGTAAATATTAAGTGCTTAATAAATGCTTATTGACTTGATTGATAATCTACTCAACCATAAGCAACTTGCTTAACCTCTCAAACCATAGGCAAGTGGCTTAACTTTTCTATGTCCAAGTTTCCTTATCTGTGAAATGAGGATAATAATACCTGCAGTATCTACCTTACTGTGTATCTGTGATCCAATAAGGGCTTATCCCTAGATGGGTCTATTGTGTTTTATCTTAAGATAATAGGAAACCACTAAAAGAGTTTGAGGAAGAGAATCACCGGATCAGACCTGTACATTTGGAAAATTATTTTTCTGCTGTAAAGGTGGATTGAGGAGGGGAGAAATTTGTTGAATTGAAATTAATTGAATTGATCAAGGTGTCCATTTTTCCAATGTCTTTTGTCTTTTCTCTTTCAGTGGCCCACATGTGCAATATTATGGAGCATAACTGTGCCCACTTCTGTATCAACACCCCTGGCTCATACCTTTGCAGATGCAAACAAGGATATATTCTGAACACAGATCAGAGAACGTGTAGAAGTAAGACATCTTTTTTTTTCCTAATTTGGTTATACTTTTTCTTTCTTCCCGTATCTCTCTTCTCCTCCTCTTCTTTTTCTTATTCCTTATCCTCTCCCTCCTTGTTTTTCTTTTTTTTCTTTCCCTTTCCCTCTTTTTTCTGCTCTCCAAATAGGTTTACATTATTTGAATTTTCTCTAAGATTCAATTCCTACCTTTCAAAAAGAACTCTCTTCCCCATGACAGGGCAGCTAGGGGGTACAGCGGATAGAGCGCTGGGCCTAGAGTTAGGAAGGCTCAGCTTCCTGAGTTCAAATCTAGCCTTAGATGCTTCCTAGCTGTGTGACCCTGGGCAAGTCACTTAACCTTTGTTTGCCTCAGTTTCCTCATCTGTAAAATAAGTGGTGGAAATGGCAAACCACCCCAGTATCTTTGCCAAAAAAACCCTAGTGGGGTCCTGAACAGTTGGACATGACTGAAATGACTGAACAACAACAATCTCCTTGACACCTAGTAGAATGGTAGGCAAACGGTAAGTGCTTAATTTGTGTTTGATTGATTAAAATGATTTCTTTAAGTTAAACTTACCATGTATGTGACTTTGGACAAATTGTTTAACCTCACTGGACTTCACTGTCCTGCTTTATAAAATGATCTTGAATAAGATGCCCTCAAAGGTCCCTTTCACATTCTGTGTACCCTGATGATGATGATAACAACAACTACTATTAAATTCAATAAAAATTTATTAAGCACTTATTATGTGCCAGGCACTGTGCTAAGTGCCGGGGATACAAAAAGAGGCAAAAGACAGTTCCTGCTCTCAAGGAGCTTACATTACTACTACTACTACTACTACTACTACTACTACTACTACCACCACCTAGCTAGCTAGCTAGCATTTGTATGGTACTTTAAGATTAGCAAGTACTTTATTATCTCATTTTATCCTTACCTCAACCCTAAAAGGTAGTTCCCATTATTTTCCCCATTTTACAAATGAGCAAACTGAGGCTAAGAGAGTTTAAGAGACTGGTCCAGGGTCCTATAGCTAGTAAGTGTCTGAGGCTGGATTTGAACTCAGGTCTTCCTGACTCTACGCCCAGCGTTCTACCCGTGGCACCAACTGTCTATCTATACGTATTTCCTTTACGAAGGTCTTATTCTTTTGCTTAATAGTCTGTTGAGGATCATTCTAACTTATTCTCTCATTGGTTACTCCCTGAAGGGTCATTTCATTATTTATTCTCTTCTCACTTTTGATAAGGAGTGAACCTGAAGCACCACTATTAACTTCAGCCGTGCTTACTATTTTAGAGCCTCTTTGAAAGGTGTGCAGGGATCAAGGTCCTTTGGTGAAAAAGACTTTAAGGTCTATAAAATAAAAATCAAATAAATATAAAATATTAATAGGGCCCTTGTGCTCCTTTCAGGTCAGACACCAAAGACTAGACAAATAGGCTGATATCTGAGCTAGCATGAGGTCATCTTTGAGAGGGCAGTGGTACTCTTGTCTGTTAGCAATATTTCCTCTCATTTTAAAAATGAACAAGAAGTAATACTGTATTAGCAACAAATTCTAACTGAGCACATATATATATGTATATATATATGCATGTATAAGTTCCATAAAGTTCACTGTTCTAATTGAATAAAACTTAAAACAATGGTAATCTGATATATATTTAATGATATATATAATTGTTGTTGTGGAATGTACTAATTGGGCATAAATTAGATATTGTATGTATGTAACCCGTAAGTAACTCTGTGACTTTTAAACAGACAACCAATTTTTTAGTTATCATTTTCTTATTATATTAATCCTCTGGTATCTATAATCAATGCCAATGTCAATAGTTTTCCACATACCATTGTAACATTTAATCATCACTGTTATTTTCGTAGCTCTAGCTAGGGTAGGACCATTGAGGTCTTAACCCTAGGGCAGAAAATTTTTAAGGGTGCTTATGTTGTTATTGTTGAGTCATTTCAGTTATGTCCAACTCTTTGTGACTCCACTTAGGGTTTCCTTGGCAAAGATACTGAAATGATTTGCCATTTCTTTCTCTAGCTCATTTTACAGATGAGGAAACTGAGGCAAACAGGGTTAAGTGACTTGCCCATGGTCATACAGCTGGTAAATGTCTGAGGTCAGATTTGAACTCAGGTCTTCCTGATTCCAAGTCCAGTGCTCCACCTAGTTGGCCCCCCTAAAGGTACTTTTAGCAATGTCCAAAGGTGGGCTGCTTCACCCCCACAGGTCCTTCTTGTGCCTACCACCTATAGCCTCAGTCTGGGGCAAAATTTTTGCCTCAGACTACTTGGTATTGGGAAGTTTGGAAGACTTGAAGATGGCAGAATGGAAAAAAGCAGTACTACCCAGCTTCTCCCAAAGTATTCCAACAATGATTTAAGGACAATGGACCAAGAATGATTGGGAAATTGAAGGAGAAACTATAGTGGGTCATTTTTTCAAACCATAGGCAAGTAACCAGGGCAGGAACTGTGAAACAAGGATGGATTGAGACCACAAACTAAGCACTCAGAGCTCTAAGCTAGGCCAGGAGAACAGAGAAGCCCAGCGCTGATCACAGAAACCCTGGACCCAAGCCAAAAGCAAAGGGCCCCCCAAATGGGTGCCCAGAGCTCCAAAACTACCTGTATCTCTTAGAACCTGGAGACAAAGAGAAAAAAAGAAAGACTCCACCAGTCACCTCCTGAAAGAATGTGAGTAGACTGTAACATAGAATAGTGAAGATTCTTGCACAAAAAGCTATATAAATGGAGGCAGGCCAGTCATGTAGCAAGAGTGGAGGGTTACCAGTACACACCTTTTATGCCGTGTTGGTATCTAGTCAGTGTCAAGAGACTTCGATGAAGGGCCCTAACACATTGAGTGGAACCCTAATAGAGGATTTTCAGGACGTGGTCAAGAGTCACACAGGATGAGAAGGCTTATGATCCTCAGTGGGTCCTTGAGGTCAAGAATTGTTTTTGTCCATTTATTTTTGAATCCTCAACATTTGATACAGTATAAAACACATACTAAATGCTTAATAAATGTTTGTTGACTGATAAATTGGCTGATTATTGCAGAGGGTAACTGCATCAGTGTGCTCACAGATCCACTGAAGTGAAGAAGTTTCTCTTTAAAACAAATGTCAGAACATATACGTTAAATTAATGTTATCCTTCAAAGTAGTCCCCTGAAAGCTTATTCTAATAGTTTAGAATCCTGTTTTGGAATTGTCTTCAAAGCCATTTACTGAGCCCCATATGAAGTAGAGAAGGGAGAGATCCAGCTGATTTGCTTCTAAAGACTAAGGCTGGAAACACAAATGTTTCCTTTCATTATTTTTTGCATGTAGAGCATTCAGCACTTTTTAGAATAGAATTTTCCCCCTCAATGTCTTGGAGTCAGGAAGACCTGGGTTCTGATCCCATCTCAGACCTTCCCAGCTGCTGTACTTCTGGCATGTCACTTAATCACTCTGTGCCTCAGTTTACTCATCTGTAAAATGAGGAGGTTAGACTTAATAGTCTCAGGTCCCTTCTATCTCTAAATCTTGGATCCTCAGATTCTTCCAAAATGGGCCTATTTCTGCAAGATGTGACCTGTCCAGATGCCCCCTATTTCCATCACTGCCCTTCATCTTTCCCTTCCATTTCCTTTCAGATGCTTTCTTTTCTTCTGATGATACCTTTCATCTCTTCCTTCAATCAGATTCTTTTCCCTCTCACACAAAAGAAGAATTCAGCCTTGGTTGCCTATGTGTATGGGATCTGGTTTGTTGTTCTTTATTTTATTGTTTTAAAGACGTTCCCCTCCCCTTCTCATTTTTTCTGGAACATATCACTGCTATCTGGAAGCCCACGGAAAGACAACATTTCAGAGACTTCATTTGGCAATCAGCGTCGACTTTCCTGTCCAATTCTCTCTTTTCTCTGTCCCAAACAGCATGATAAATGCATTCAAACTGCTTTCATTCTTTGGACAAGCTCCTGTTGTTGTTTTTTTCCCATGCTGCATATGTTCTTTAATGACTGTCCTTCCAGGAGGAGGTGGGGAAGGGGGATATGTTCTAAAGCTAGAACCATAGCAGAGGCCTCATTGATGCGGTGGGAGGATTTGTTGGTGGGTGGAGAATCCAAGCAGTCTTTAGCTGTCATGGTTTATACACTGTCACTTGTTTTATCAGCTTTAAGGAAGCTCTAGTTTTCCTCCCCCAGAGCACAGTACACTGTCCTCTCCTCTTTCTCCTTCCCGCCCCCCACCCCCAGTCTCCCAATGGGCCAGGGAGCTTTACTTGGCTCAACAATTGAAGACTACATAACGTGCAGCCAGATCTCACAGTTGCATGCTGTTGTCCCAAGGGGACTGGGGAAAGAATGATAACTCATGACTACTCCACTGGGGAGGGAATCCACAAAAGAGCTTGTTCTCCTGGTTGTGGGTCTGTACCATCATGTTTACAGTTGAGGAATGGCATAATTTCCCCATTAGCTGCACCACTGATTTTTGGTTTTCCGTGTTGCCTATTTATATTTCTAAGTTCAGGAATCAGTCTATCAACTGAATTTTAATGAACGCAAAATAATTTGTACATATTTATTGACCTGCTTTTAATCTTGTTTCTAAGTAATTTTCCTATGTCACTAGAAATATTGACTTTTTCTTTTGTTTTGTTCCTTTTTTTATGCTTGAGTCATCCTTTCTTACCTAGGCTGAAAATGCAGGGCTACTCATGGGCCCAATACTACTCTGTTTGGGGCAGGAGCTTTGATCCTCTCTGTTTTTCAACCTACGTCAGTTTGCCCCTCCTTACAGAGAACTCTGAGGCCCTCATTTCTGGGAGCTTGCCATATTAAAGTCTAACTTAGTACAGGCTACCCCATCAGCTTAGCCCATTGCAGCACAGACCTCCTAAGTTCAACAGATCCACCAACCTCAGCCTCCTTTTAAAAGAGATTATAGGTGACAACCACCATGTACCATTTAATTATGACATTTCTAAGGC